GGTCATGATCTCACAGTGTGTGGGTTCGAGTCCTGTGCTGCCAGCACACAGTCTGCTTCAGATCCTCTGCCCCTCCACACCCCTCTTCTACTTGATCTCTTTCTCTCTCTCTCAAAAGAAGTAAATAAACTTAAAAAACATTGTTAGGCAGCATGGGGCCCGGCTGAGCTTGAAGAGAAGAAAGGAGATGATATAAAACTTATAATAAAGCAAGGACTGTCCAAGTAAGATATTGAGATGATCTATGAAATAGCATATTTGATTTTGTCAAAAGATTGTGTGTGTGCTTTCCTTCACACGCAGAGTAAAGGCATAGAAGAAAATAAGAAGGGTAACAATGGAGTAAAGATGTAGAGGAGGCATTGAGATTTCATAGAAGTTTATTACCACCTTAAATGTTTTAAAGTAACTGCTAAAGGAGTTCAAATGTAGAAAGGTATCAACTATATTTAAGTAAAATATAAAGAAGAAAAGAAAAGTACATTAGACAACACAGTGTAAAAAGATGCTGATTTATGAAACAGAATCTTTATAATGTAAATAAAACCTGAAGCAGTGTTATATATAAGAACAGGATTTTGTTAGTAGTATGGAATTATAGGTGACACACAATGTTAGATTAGTTTCATGTGCACATCATAGTGATGTGAAGTTATGCTGGGCTCACAAGTTTACCTGCCACCTGTCACCATCTAACACTGTTACAAAACCATTGACTATATTCCCTATGCTATGGCTTTTGTTCCTGGGACACATTCATTTCATAACTGGGGGCTGTGTCTCCCTCTCTTCTTCATCCATTTTGCTCTTCCACTCCCCCTGCACCATCAGTTCGTTCTCTGTATTTATGGGTTTGTTTCCACTTTTTGTTTGTTTGCTTATTTGTTCATTTCTTTTGAGGAGCAGAACATATTTTGAAAAGAAAAAAAAAGAAAGAAAAAAGGGAGGGGGAAGAAGGAAGTAAGAAAGAGACACAGAGAAAGGAAAGGGAAAGAGGCAGAAGGAAGGAAGGAAGAAAGGAAGGAAGGAACAAACGAATGAACGAAGGAAGAAAGGATAGGAGGGAAGAAAAAGAAGGGGAAGGAAGGCAGGAAAGGAAGGGGCAGAGAAAGGAAAAGAAAAGTCCACGTGGAGAAAAGACAAAATGTAAAAACCTTAACCAATGTTCCTGGACAGACTGGAACTCACTTCACAGCCTACGTCCTCATGGTGGAGAGTGACATGTGGCTCCAGACCTCTCACCTTCTTCTCAGGTATGGGGGCTGGTTTCTCTGACAAGGCCTCCACTCTGTATTCCTAGCACAGAAGGCCACACTCTTGTCAGAGAGAGAGAGGCTTCCAGTTTAGAAAATTAACTTAATCTTTTATTGCCTCAGAGTTTTGGAAGTCCCCAATCTTTAGATCTTAAAATAAACAACAACAAAAGGGAAATGCACAAAAACCTTTCCTCATGGGATAAGAAGACCATCTTCTTTTCACCTGAGTATTACAACTGGAGCAGAAGCATATTCTGTAGGGATTTTTTCTTCTTTCTAACCTTCGATTGTGATTTTAGCAGAAATCCTTTTAGCTGGGTGTAAGTCTTGATTTATACCTCTAATTATATATTGCTTCCTGAAATAGTCTCATTAAACACTGAGTCCATAAGCTTATCTTTATGAAATGTTTCAAACTGTAGCTGAGTCTTTTAACCCTCAAGGAAATAGATTAGAGGGGAGGATTTTGTCAGGAATGTTTGAAATATATTCATAATGCATATCTTCAGTCTTTAGCTTTCTATGTCTAGTAGTAATGCATTAAAAGCTACTGTTTTTCTGGATTTGATTTGACTTTTTTTTTTTTTAGTGTTGAATGTTTTCTATTTCAAAAAATTGTTTGTTTATTTATTTTGAGAGAGAAAGAGTGCGAGTGGGGTAGAGGCAGAGAGAGAGGGAAGAGAGAGAGAGAATCCCAAGCAATCTCTGCACTGCCAGCACAGAGCCCTATGTGGGACTCGAACTAATGAACCATGCAATCATGACCCAAGCCAAAATCAAGTGCAGTACTTAACTGACTGAGCCACCCAGGCATCCCTCTATTTCAGATAATTACTTACATATTCCAAACTTTTAACTTCAGTGTCAATGAAAATTACCCATCCCGCCATATTCGTTTCTTAGTGTTGCCATAAAGTATCATACATTGGTTTGTTTAAGACAACAGGCACTTATTTTCTAATAATTCTGAAGACCGGAAGTTCAAAATCAAGATGCTGGCATGACCATCCTTCATTCCTTGTCTCATTTTACTAGTTGGTGATTGCTGACAATCCTTGACCTTTTCTAGCTTGCAGCTGAATTATCTAATCTGTGCCTCCATGACTTCCTTCCTTCTCTATCTCTGTGACCACGTGTCCTTTCCTCTTCTTATAAAGATACCAGTCATTGACTTGAGGACCCCTAATACAGTATGACTTCATCTTAACTAATTATATCTGGAAGGATGCTTTCTCCAAATAAGGTCATGTTCTGAGGTTCTGGGTGGAGGGGGCATTATACAGCACAGTATACCCATTATGTACAAAATATGAAGAATGAGACATTTAAAAAGTATATTTCCAATGTTATTTGGGATGTACATTTTTTGAGAAGAGAGAGAGCTCTCATCCCAGGACTTCTCTGAAATGCTTTCATATTCCCCAGTAAAGATGGACTCTGGAAGATTCTGATGTAGATGAATTTCAGGAGCACCAAAGCAGCTTCCTCTTTCTTGAGTCTAGGGCATTGGTCAATGCCCATCAGCTGGTGTTCCTCAGTCGAGCTTGGTCTGTAAATAAGACTGATTTCTGCAGAATTTCTTAATTAATAGATGCTCTCTAAGAATTCTCTAGGAAGACCATTCATGCTAAAAGAGATATGCTCATTTCCAAATTAAAAATTAATAATTCTGGTAGATTGCAGTTCTGCATTCCATATTCATTCTCTTTGTGAGTAGCTTGTAGAAACTTGTGTTCTTGTGCTGTGTGCATTGTTGGCATTGTGGACACTGAATTCCTTGAGTGACAGGGCCTGTATTATTGATTTATGCATTCACAAAATTAACAAGCTTTCCATCCACAGCCGGAACTCCGTGTGTATCTATCATGAATATATGGATGGACGGATGAACTGTGAGGGCATATTGTTCTCTCATATTCTAATGCAACATTTTACACTGTTTTTTTTTCTCTTTTTCATTTGTTGAAATGGATTTCACTCAATACAGTTCAAATTATTTACACTATAAGGTAAGCCATGAGTTTCTCTATCATACTATTTAAATATGTAAAGGTATATGTGATAGTATTTTTCCAATCTGTGATCACATTGCCTATCAGCTGGCATTAATTATCTTTAAAGGTATGTGACTCTCAGTACTGAACCTTGGTATGACTGAGGACAGGGGACATATAGTGCTCTTATATGTGGATTTTAAAGATCTTCCTAAATTACTGGTGTTCATCCAGACTCACAGATATCCATTTATAGATGAAAGAGCATAAACATATATTCTCTTCCAGATATCTTGCATTGAGATATGTATTCACTTGTTAGACTCCAATAGCTATTTGTGGGGAATTGAGCAGAGAGCAGAGACCTGTATACCAAGTATCTCTGCGATGATTTGAAGTGCACACAGTAACCATGCCACTAACTGATATTAGTCCAAAGGAGTCATGATCTTGACATTCAAATTCCTGGCATAAAATATGGGAGGATTTGCAGTCTAACAAATCTCACCCAAGCTAAGTAGTTAAGAATGGTCTCCAATTGGTCAGTTGGTAAATGAATGTCCATCTAGAAACACTTTCCTGTTCTTACTATACAATCATTCACCATGAAACTCCATGAACTTCCAAGAACCACAGAAATTCCTGATGGAAATTGCAACATATAATTTTTTATTTTAATATAATAAACTTCAGGTAGTATGATCACTTTTTTAAAACAATAAATAAGTAAAATATATATCCATATTGAATCGACTATAAGTAGGAAAACATTTTATGATAATGAATGTAGTACTCTTTGCATCACCTTGATCTCTTGACATTGAGTATGTACCAGTAAGACACACTACACATAAATACACACATGCATTCACACACTCCACATGTAATGCTGTTCATGTTGGGGAAATTTACTAATGTGTAGAATGGACAGATTAGGTAGGTACAGAGTCTTTTTTTGAGAATGGAATTTTAATAATGTATACTCCTGTTTAGAAGTTTTCAAGTTGTGCTAACAGGTGCTTCATATACGAAGTTTTCAAAGCAATAGTTCTTTACTATTTAGTACTTTACTAAAAAGAAATTCATGAAGAAATTAGTGGTATCCTTTCTCTAAAACTTAAAACCTAGGGAAGTGAGGATGTTAAATCACTATTTGAAAGCATATCAAAGTTTACTAAAATTTTGTCCTAAAATCTTTGTGTTTGTGGCCTTTCTCAAAATACAACGCCCAAATATAGAGAACAATTTATTTGATTTTTCTGGCTTCTTATAGATGTAACTTATGTATGCACTGCTTACAGAAACTATATTATCTATTAAATTTAAACTTAAATTGATTCTCCAAAATAAGTTTCACTATCAGAAAAATTAACATTTTACTATTCACCGTTTACTTATAAAAATTTTATGTATTTTTTTTTATTATGCAGTAATTGTCTCTGAAAAATCATAAGACAGGGCGATTTTCAGTTTGGACGTAAATAACCCCTTAAAATATAATCATAGTTTTAAATCAGTTGTGGGTTTTTTTCCTTTTACATTCTTTATTGATACGTTCTTTGCTTCAGGTTTTTGTAGCCTGAAGTAATTTGTACAGATTTAACATGGTTGGTTGGATATAAAGGAAAACCGATAGTTAGAAAGTCTCTATATCCTCTATAACATGATATATTCATAAGAATTAATAATGATTTGAGACCCTCCGCCCCTAGACTGGACTGGCAGCGCAGCCCCCCAGGCTCTCACTGGTGTCGGATGCGAGAGCCTGTGCTTAAGTAAGAAATCAGGCTTCATTGGAGACATTCAAGCAAAGGTTGGACAACTAATTTTCCAGAACAAAAAGGAAACTCATGCATCAGAAAAGGTGACTAATAAACATAGCAAAAGAATATGGCTGCACAAATACCAGAATCTGATCAAATAAAACAGTTTAAAGAATTTCTTGGAACCTACAATAAAATTACAGAAACCTGTTTCTTGGACTGCGTTAAAGACTTCACAACAAGAGAAGTAAAACCTGAAGAGACCACCTGTACAGAACATTGCTTACAGAAATATTTAAAAATGACACAGAGAATATCCATGAGATTTCAGGAATATCATATTCAGCAGAATGAAGCCCTGGCAGCCAAAGCAGGACTCCTCGGCCAACCACGATAGAGAAGTCCTAATGGCCGGACTTTAGATCAAACATTGCCAGCAGCTGTTGTGACGGAAAGAGGACTCCTCTGACAGAGTCCCCTGAAAGCAGTAGCCACCATGTTAACCTGTCATCACTGTTTGGCAAATGGAAAACAACTGGAGAAACAAAATTGCTTTTTACCGGGAATAATCAAAATAGAAGGTCTTATTCAATCAAAATAATAAGATGCAACATTTGTTGAGGCCTTAAGATTCAGCAGCTTGGTAACTTCATTAGAAAAATAAACCTTTGTTTCTTCAATTGTGACTGTTAATTTTAAAGAAAAATATGTGTTCAATCATGTATGAGATAGAAAAAAATTTTTTATTACTAAAAGTAAAATAAATGGAATATCACTGAGCAGTTGTTTATACTATATATGGTACCATAGTATTCTGACTGGACTGTGGATACGTTGAAGTGTTTTTCAAGCACGATCATCCTCCAAGTATTCCTGTTCATTCATGTCTGCCTCAAATTGCTGGTAAATACATAAAATAGTTACTTGCTCATCATTTCAATGCACGATACTTTTCTTGCCTCCCTTTTTGTGTCAGGATGGGCACTACACATTCTTATCCTAACCATATTTTCATAAATCTTCAGGAAACATCCCATCTGAGATTACCTTGAGAATGTTTAAGAGTCGACTATTATGCATCTGAGATTACCTTGAGAATGTTTAAGAGTCGACTATTATGCTCTACTGAAGACTGTGTTTTGTGTTTTGTCCAAAAGCTGAGAGTCTAACAATATAGAGTGTATTCTCAGCCATGTCATGTGATCAGTGCAATAAAAAGTGAACTGAAGTTAAAGTAGTGCCTTAGGGCTAAATGAATCCTAAAACAAATCCAGACATCTGCAGGAAATTCTAGTTGATGCATAGGTATACCAAGCAGTTTGGAAAATGTACGTTGACTAATACCTACTAATAAACTGGCTTATGAATGGATTTCATTTGATACCAATCTAAACTTTTACTTAAGAAAATACTAATTATAACTAGCCTATATGTTTACATTATCAAAGTAATTTCTCTTTTGTCATAGGATTTGAAGCCAGAAGTATTCTGCTTTGATAAACTAAGGTTTTCTGTATTACATCTAGTTTTGAAGCTATTACATCATATAACTAACAATACCATTTATTACAGGCCTCTTGACATTGCAGTCACTAATTGTGTCTTTGAAAGTACAAAGACTAAATATTAACGCTATCTTTAATGTTGAAACCTCTAGAAGACTCAACAAAATAAACAATTCATTATAGTTAAAAGAAAAAAAAAGAATTAATAATGATTTCACATTCAATCTATATGTCTTTGGTTGAAATATAGATCTCTTTTATGAATACTGATTTACAAATTGGTGTGTGTTTATTTTTAAATTCATCTGAGCTGTGCATTTTGTTAAATTTCTTCTAGTCTTAATACTTTTGGTACTTAACAAGAATTCAAGCACATACTTTATGTGTAATTTGACAATAAATGATCTGTTAATTTTTCTGATAGTCCATGTTAACATGAACATCCATCCATTGACCTATCCTGTGTTGGTAATGTTCTAAGACACTGATCTCTCATTAAGACAGTAATATTTTTAAAATGTTTTTCTTCATTGTGCTTGTCCCAATGAGATACAACCAATTTGGAAAATAATGGATGTGTATAAACTCTACTTATTGAATTGGTGAATACTACTTTCGTAAAATTATCATTTCACACTTTTGTCCTGTTTCTTTCTAATTATAGGCTTTTTATGCTATTGGTGACATAGTTTTTTAAGATTATCTTTTATGGAGGTGATGAAAATATGAATACAGTTTACTAGAATTGGGTAAGTACTGAAAAAGAAATCAGATTGGGCTGGGTCAGGCAACTCGGACAGAATGACTAAGACGGGGGTGTTGGAGACAGGCTGCTAATGTTTGACAGCTGGTACCCCTCTGCCCTACCACCTGTGTGCCCGGGAACAGCTCACTTAACCTCTCCTGACCACCTCTATAATGGAGTTAATAACAACTAGCTGGCACACTAGATGAAGGTTAAATAATTTTAAAAAGGTAATTTCATTAGCACTGGGCCCCTAACATAGTTTCACAAGATTGAAACCAATTTTACATGAATTCAGTAGTTAATTTCATTGGCACTGGGCCCCTAACATAGTTTCACAAGATTGAGAATAATTTTACACGAATTCAGTAGTTAAATGTGCCTTCAATACTTAGTGCAGTGGACCATCACAATCCACACTGCCTTTATGTGTTTCGTTTGTCTCATGGATGTTGCAATAAGTACAAAAAGGAAAAAGACTTCTGATGGTGGGAAAAGTTTTGTGACTAAAATGGTAACAGAGATAAATATTTATTGACCATTTTTCTGAAACCAGGTCTTAGTCATAATGTTGCACTTTAAACAAAATGAATGAAAACAAGTCACTGACGACAAGGGCAGTCTAACCTAATTAAGGGAGCATAAACTAGAAATTGTGGTTTTCTCCTGAAAAGATGCATTAGGGAAGATGGATGTATTCATAACCTTCTGAGAGTGCTCAGTGGCATGGAGGTAGAGGAAACCAAAGAGAAATGCGTAGGGTCAAATCCATGATTGTAGTAGGGGAGAAAGAACTGCCTGTAGGTCAGCAACAAGGCATGAAACTAGACAAGTAGATTTGAGGTAGAGAATGAAGAGCCTTAAAAGAATGTTCTGGAATTTTAACTTTTTTTTTTGACATAAAAAATGTTTTTCAGGAAATTAAATAGTTAATGACTTTCTAAGTGTACTCATGATAATTAGGTTGAATGATGAAACCACTGCAAAATAAAACACTGTTTAAAAGCAAATACATTATAAAATAACAACCAAACCATGAGATGAGAAAGTAATCAGTTATTTATTTGACGAAATGTGTGTAGAAGACATAAAAATCTAATATTGGTAACAAAAGAAACAAATTACTCAGATGTTCACAATGATACTGTCAATAGTATAATCTAGAAAGGAACCTCATAAAGGATAGAGTCAAGACTTCAATCATTTATTTTGTTCTACATGACACTTTGGGTATTGTCTGTGTATTTTACCTGTGGATATACACATACCCAGACATTCCTGTTCATAAGGATAAATATGCATATGCATGTATATGTTATATGCATTCTGCATACACATGCACAGGGAGAGAAAATGTAACATTTGTTATATAATATATATGAATAGACCAGATTATGTAATCTATAAATTCACCATTTGTTACACAATTACGAGAATGATAGTTGATAGTAATGATAACTGACTAATATTTTGATGTTTATCATTACATTAAATGACGTGCTACTCATAAGGGTATTGACTATAGACATACAGTTTGAGGGAAACACGTATTCTGGTTACATAAGTTGGTCAAAACAAAATAGATTAAGATTTGATGGAACAAATTTGATTAAAATAGAACATAAAACAGTGTACTTGATGATCAAAGCCATGAAAATAATGAGGAGATATATTTTGTGTTGTTATTTTTAGTGTGTTATTTTTACCCTAAATAATAGGAACATATCCACTAAATATTATATGTAATAATATATTCTGAATTCCAGATAGGTGAGCTTAAAACTTTAAATCATATTTTTATCACTATCTTATTCATCTTTACATTCCAGAGTCTAGGGCAATACTTGCATATAGTTAGGACATCATAAATACCTGCTAGAACGAATAAATAAGTGACTAGCTGAATGAGCAAATATGATTGTTGGAAGGATATGAGAAGGGTGCAGATGCAGGAGATATTGTGTAGATAGGACTCGTATCTGGTACGTGTGGCCATCAGTGGAAGAGTGATAACTCTGTGTCATTTACCACACTGAGAAACAAAAGAAGATGAACTTAAGAACCTGTTATCTTTTTCTTAGAGTAATTCAGAGATAACTAGACCTTATGTGAAATGTCCCGCAGGTCACTGAAAATTCTGGGCGAAGCTCAGAAAGTGGGGTATCCACAGATTGGGGAAATGCCCATGTTGACCAATGAACAAGAGAAGTAATATTATGAGGTGAATGTATGGAGAAAGTAGAGAGAGACTGATACACAGGAGATATGGACTAAAGATAGATTTATAATTGGGGACTTAATTTGACATGAATGAGCCATGATACAGAGGCTCGAAAAAAGATCACACTTGAGAGGATACTTCAAGGTCACAGTTGTAGTCATGAATGTCAAATGCTACAAGGAGCCAAGGAAGTCCAGAGGTTGATGGTATCAGCTTATATTTTCTTCATTACAAGGGTTTATTGGATACAGATAAAGAAGTAGAAGCGTTTGGTGTCTACAACTTTGAAAAGATAATAGGCAGTACAACGGAAGTGAAATGATAGGTTATGATTGAAAATGTATATTTTTAAATTTTATATACTGACTCGCAGGGGCCAAAATCTTCCAAAGGGGGTCCTTGGGTTTCCAAAGGAGAAAGAACAGATAAGTGATGCAACAAGGTCCCAAGGAAATGGATGGAAAAAGATTTTATTTTATCCAAAACAGATTACCCCAATATGTGAAATGAATTCAACGGAAGCAAAAGATAAATTGCGCTACTCGTCATGAGAGCTTAAAAATCAAGCTTTTCTGCCATAAATTTGGTTTACTGGGCAGACAGAGATATGTGCCCCATTGTGCAACTCTAACATAAAACCATGTATTCAGAACATGTCAAGGAGAAAACCAATTATGCTGTATTGGAAGCAAATGAGCTGTGAAGCTGGTACAGAAATAAAAAGGAAAAAAATCAGGTAAAGTGACAGAAAATATGAACGTATGGAAGATAAGAATATAGGGGTAAATGGGTGACTCATAGATTTCAGCTGCCTATTTACAACCCTAAAATTTAGATTGGCCCAAAGGTACTTTAATTTTTCAGATAATTACATTTTATTTCATTATTAGGAATGATTCCATTTTACTTCTAAGTTCTGGGAAGCCTAATGGTGGAAGAAGAGATTTGAACATTTGTGTCTGCCTCTCTTTTCTCCCTGTCTCTCATTTTTCCTTTAAGACCGGGAAATATAAACAATCACCGGGTTCACTTTATATTTTTTCCCTTCTTTTTTTAAAAAAATTTAAAGCTATACATGATATTGTTAGGTAATTCAGATGACCTAGGATGTTACTAATCAAGACCCATGCTCCAAGCACCACACAGTGAATGGATGAAGAATTTTGCTCCACTTTCTGCTGTGAAAGAAAGAAAGGGAAAGGTGGTTTC